TGGCAACTTTTTGAGATAGGCAAGATAACTAATGATAGCTTACATTAACTGACCAAAGCAAGTCACATGGCCAAGTTTGATGTTAACAGGCCTGGAAACTTTAATCCTCTTATGGGAAGGAAGGGTCATCTAATATTAGGAATAATAATGCAATCATCAGACTTAGTGAATTATATTAGATTCAGGGAACTTTCTATTTGAATAAATTAATAGGATAAAAATGTAAGTAAACTCTACCAGCTTCAACTTAACCTCATAAAAGAAATACTGAGGAAGTTCAAGCATTGAAGCACTCTGGACCTTTCTCAGCAGCTGTCATTTCAGGATGTGGAAGTTGACTTAAGGGGTAAGCAGCAGAGCCCAGGGGGCTGCTGAGCCCAAAGTGCTACCAATCCTCCATCACCAGCTACACAGCAAGGGTCAGGTCACGCAGCTTCTTATCTTGTAACACTGGCAAAAATGCAGGCCTCATTTTTAACTCAGTGCCTTGCAGTTCTTTTTCAAGTATGTTACCAGGACTTTATAAAGATTGATAGAGTGCTGGAAAACCATTGGGTTGAAGGCCCAGATGTACATAAATCAAGTCACAGCATCATTTCACTCAGAATGTTTCTGCCCAAGTCATTAAGGGGTAGAAGTAGAGAGATTTATAGTGAGTCTTAAGGGATTTGATGGTCTGAAAGGTAAGAGATATTAAATGTATGATTTAACTCCAGGAGTCACTGCAATAGTTTTACATGGATTGAAACCTTAGTTGCTGTTGGTTAAAAATGTATTTTAAATAATTGGAGATGAATTTGTGGGACATTGGGATGAAAAGTTGAATGTGATCTTTGGTGCTTATAATTAAGATCTGTAATTTGCATAAAGAAAAAACTCATCCATTAATAAAAATGTATGTCAGCAAACCTCTTTACATATGAAAGCACTGATCTCTATTATAACTAGCCCTAGATCTAACAATATTTTAGGATAAGAACCAAGGATTTGTGTGTTTGATGAAAGAATTCCCCTGTTTTTTAATCCTGAGCCTGAAATCAATCTACATTTAAACTTTTCTTAGTTTTGCCCTGGCCAGGTGGAGTATCATCCCACACACCAAAAGGTTGTGGGTTCAATTTCTGGTCAGGGCATGTACCTCGGTTGTGAGTTTGATCCCTGGTTGGGGTGTGGATGGGAGGCAACCTATCCCTGTTTCTTACATCTATGTTTCTCTTTCTCCCTTTTCCTTCTCTAAAAAAAATTAGTAAACATATACTTGGATAAGAATTAAACATAAAATCATCTTAGTTTTTTCACTGAGAGACATGAAAAGCCACAATCCCAATTTATGCCCACAGGGTCTCACACAACTGAGGCACATCTGTTTTCAGCCTGGAAGGAAGGTAAGGCTTGCTATAATCTCTGAGCCCAGCCTTTCTGTATTCCTTCCTATGTTGAAATCTTTTATTCTCTAATGCTTCAAACTCACTTTTCCTACCAAAACTTATTTTTCTAAAATATTATATTTTAGCTCTGGCTGGTGTGGCTCAGTGGATTGAGCACTGGCATGCAAACTAAAATACCATATTTTGCTATTATAATGCACACTTTTTGTCCATATTTTTGAGTGAAAAAATAAGGATGCACATCATACATGGGTATAATGAGGACATGTACAATGTGCACAAAAATGTGTGTGCGCATTATACATGGCAAAATATAGTAAATAATCTTTATTAGAATATACCAACAAATCTCAATACCTCCACACAACAAATTTAATGTGTTAGCATAAACCATTGAATGCATATTTCAATTTAAAACAAAATTTTAGCCAAAGAAAAGATGTTCTAATGGGAAATTAAAGAGGACCAGAAATAAAAGTGGGATATATCCCTCTCTTTTGTAAAATTACACAGTGGAGACAATTTAAAAGCAATGATCCAAAAGGACAATTGGTTCATACTTATGTTACATTTCTGCCTACCCCTCTGAAAATTTTAGGTGTTTTTGATGGAAGAAATTCTTAAGGGAACAAAGAAGTTTCTTCCTTAACATGACCTCTGAAAACATACTCTTCATCATGAAAGAAAGACCAAACTCATATTTGTATAATTATTACTAAAATTAATTAAATTTTATATAATATTTTGAAGAAATTTTGAGTATATACTTTATTTTACTAAATGATGTATGCAACTTTAGTTTTATTAAGTTTTCTTTAGTTGCAATCATAAGAGAAAATCTGAATTCTTTCCCTTATGATGTTACTTCTCTAGCATCTCTAGTTTGTAAACTCAAGGTGTTGAATTTACAAGATAATATTTAAGGGTGTCTGATCCTGAAGTTCTTTGTCATTTCCTTTAGTTAAGGACAAGCTTCTTTTGAAAAGAAAGCACTTACGAGTTCCGGCCAAGATAGAGGTGTAGGTAGAAACCCTTCACTTCTTCACACAACCAAAAGAGGGATAACAACCAACCTAAAATCAACAAACAATCAGAAGTTCCAGTAAATCAAACTGCATGGAAGTCCAACAACCACAAAATTAAAGGAACAGTCAAATAGAACAAACAGACTGGCAAGGTGGTGGACAGAGAGAAATCTAGCAAGGCAGTCAGCTGCATGGGCGGGCCTGGTTTAAGGGGAAACTAAGACTCAGAGTGGGCTGAGGACTCCAGTGGTTTGCTGCGGTAGGAGAAACTCCCAATCTCACATGAGAGTTTGTTGAAAACTAGAGACCAGCAGGCAAGCCGCACTGTTCTCTCCAGCCCCTCCCCTACATGCAGCACTGAAGCACAGCAAGGAGGGTTGCCCTAGCCAGTAAATACTTAGGCCCCACCCCCTTACAACTTAGAACTTAATTGGGGCCCTGAACAAAGAAATAGGGCCAAAATGAAGGAACAGAGCAAAACTTCAGAAAGAGAGCTATATGATGAGGAGATAGCCAACCTATCTGATGGAGAATTTAAAGCCCTGGTAATCAAAATGCTCACAGAACTGATTGGGTTTGGTTGAAAAATGAAAGAACAAAAGAAAGATACCCAAAATGAAATAAAATGAAATATTCAGAAAACCAACAGTGACATGAAGGAAACCAGGACACAAATCAATGATATGGAAGAAGAGGAAGAAGTAAACATCTAGCCAGAACAGAATGAAGAAAGAAGAATTCAAAAAAGTGAAGAGAGACTTACAAACTTCTTTGACAACTTGAAATGTTCCAATATCCTAATTAAGGGGTGCCAGAAGGAGAATAGGAAGAGCAAGAAATTGAAAACTTATTTGAACAAATAATGAAGGAAAACTTCCCTAATCTGGTGAAGGAAATAGACTTCCAGGAAGTCCAGGAAGCCCAGAGAGTCCCAAAAGAAGTTAGACCCAAAGAGGAACACACCAAGGCACATCATCATTAAGTTACCCAAGATTAAAGATGAGGAGAGAATCTTTTTTTTAAAATATTTTATTTATTTATTTTTTAGAGAGGGAAGGGAGGGAGATAGAGAGAGAGTGAGGAGAGAATCTTAAAAGCAGCAAGAGGAAAGGAGAGCATTACCTACAAAGGAGTGCCCATAAGGCTATCCATGGATTTCTCAAAAGAAACCTTACAGGCAAGAAGGGGCTGGAAAGAAGTATTTGAAGTCATGAAAGGCAAGGACCTACATCCAAGATTGCTCTATCTAGCAAAGCTTTCATTTAGAATGGAAGGGCAGATAAAGTGCTTCCCAGATAATATCAAGTTAAAAATCTTCATCATCACCAAGCCCTTATTGTGAGAAATGTTAAAGGGACTTATCTAAGAAAGAAGAAGAAGATCAAGGATACGAACAGTAAAATGAGAACAAACTCACAACTATCAACAAATGAACCAAAGAGAAAAGAAAAACAATGAAAACAAAAGCTAAGCAAACAACTAGAACAGGAACAGAATCAGAGAAATGGACATCACATGGAGGGTTTTCAGTGGGGAGGGGGAAGGGAGGAATGGGGGGAAATTCTAGCATTTAGAATATTAAACTTTTGGAGAAACTCATTGTGAAATCAAGTAGTATTATTCAACCCTTTGGCAACACAGTCTCACATTCTCGATTTGTTACTTAGAGTAAAGCTTCGGAATATTAAGCATAAACAGAGTCTCATGTGTCATAGTTCATTGCTTACTCAGAGTCATGCTTCAGTTTGTTTGCTTCATTTGAGGACCATGCCTTTATTATTCAACTTTATGTTCTTGGATTCTCTTATTACATTTCAGTTACTTTGTTAACTAAGAAATATCCTGGATATCTTGTTTTTAGATCATCATGCTTTTTAATCATACCATTTAATACAGGAAGACGACTGTTTTCTTAAAGAATATCTCTGGTAGCCCACTAACTAACTTCCTTTTCTAATGTGAATTTATTACCTGTATGTCTGCTGCTGAGCAGTGATTCTGGGATTAATTAATTAACTAGCTAATTAATTAATTTCTCTATGGTTAAATTCTATATACACCAAGTAATCCTCTTTTAACAAATAAGATATTGTATTGGATTATAACTTCTAGCAATTTTTTTTCAAACACATGCAAAAGAGGCAAACTTTTAGAGTCTTTGCATGTTTGAAATGGCTTTGTTTTTATTTTCATGCTAGACTGGTATATTTTAATTTTCAAAAAAAAATCAGATTTCTATAGTAGCCTTGCATGTTATAAATGCATCACATTAGTGTGTTCCTACCCTTTGAAAATCCCAATAGAACGGAATCAGTTACACAGTTAGGGGACAAAATAAGCCCCTGGACTTCTCTCCACCACAGTAGTTACAGTGAAGCAATATCCCATGCTTCACCTTTAGCCACTGTTTTGTATTGCTTGGGAAATCAAAAATTGCACTATATTGTACAGCCTTCCTGGTAGATGCTGGGAAGAATTGCAACATACTTTAGCATGTCTGGAAATGTGTTTTTTCCTGCCCACATCTTAAAAAGACATAATTGCATAGTGGGTGCCTTTGTGATTTTTTTAAGTGACTTCCGTGAACAAGGAGAAATGCTGACATGTTGGCAGAGCTGATCATTTTCATTGTGGATCTCATGCTTGCTTTAGCCATTTTTGTTATCCTATATGCTGTTTACTTCATAGCAGCCACAGGTATTTTTATCTTAGTCCTTCTCTATATTTTCAAAACAGAGATGGAAAAAAACTGTGACATCAACAAGGGCAGAATCTGGGTACTGGATTCTTCTAACCATAGTTCTGGGAAGCTATTTGCAGGCAATTTAGAGAAAGTCTGCTCCAGGAGGGTTCCTGTTCATTTTCCAGCCTCAAGAGAAGGGGCTTTCTTGCCCAAAGAAAGTTATCTCTTCTAAAGAGTGATGAGCTCTCTGGAGCAGAGGAGACCCATGGAAAGACTTGCTGGAACACCGGACCCAACCAACTGAGAGGTATCTTTTTAAAAAGACATCCTGCCCCCCAATTGTATAAGCTTCTGCTTCCATTAACTCTGTGTTCACTACTCCCGAGTGATATTTTTACTGAACAAAAGAAACTTGTGCACAATATTATATTTATTCATCAATGAATTTGGACCAACCAGTATCTTTATTCTATATGAGAGATATTGTTTAAGGTAAGCATGTGGAATATTTAGTTTAATTCTCCCTTTTGTGAATGAGATAATACAAGAAATATGCATGCTTGATGTCAGAGGGGAAGAATAAACTAATGCTTTTGATCACTATCTTCCATTTTCCAAAAATGGACTTGGTGGCCTCTATAGGAACTATAATAGTTGTTGTTTTCAGCTCAAAGTACCATTTATTCTTCTTCTACCCATGTTATTATCTCTCCCGAGCAATGGTTAGACACAGGTCAAAAGGTTGAAACTTCTGTTTCACTCTTCTCTTAAGCAGTTTGGCTATAGCCTTAGTAGAAGAGAAAGTATGAGAACATGGATGCTCTTTCCATCTATGGGTTGCTGTTTGTTCCTGGGCTCCAAGTGGCAAAAGTAATCAGCACTAGTCCTTGACTGGACAGTGTATTTTCAAAATGGTCCTTGGAGCAAAAACAACGTTTGAGAACGTGAAATGGCAGGAAGGAGATTTAGTCTCTTTGGTTTAGTGTCTTGTGAAAACTGGAGATTGTGAGGGAAAAAATTCAGGGTGATCTAATAGTGACACTTCAAACCCAGAAACTGGATTCACTTGGAATCACCTGGTACCTTATTTCTGTTTCATTGCTTTGGCTCAGGGAAGCAAATGAATCAGTTTGTCTTGGTTATTGTCAGATAAATGACCACAATAGGTGTCATGTGTTTGGGTTTTTATGGCATAATTTTATATTTTTATAGTACATAAATACATTTTTCACAGGAACAATATTTGGTTAACTTGCAGAACACTGTGGTAAATTGATTCTATTGTAGTCATTGTGATTACTACTTCTTAAAACCAAGCCCTTGTCCTCATATTTCATCTCCAAAGCCTGGAGGATTTTTGACATAAGTCTTTGAAGTATTTCTTTCCAAAAAACTAAAAACTTATTTTAGTCTCTATGTAAGGTAACACTTAAATGAACTCCTTATGAAAAAAGTAGCAAAATTGTGCTCGATAAGCAAAATAATAAGCTTAATCCCATGGACTATAAATACTTAAACTTTTAGTAGATCGTAAGTGTTCTCACCACAAAAAAACTGCTAACTATGCGAGGTAATAGATATGTTAATTACCTTGTGATGATTACTTCACAATGTATATTTGTATCAAAAAATCAAGTCATATACTTTAAACATACCACATTTTTTGGACCGTAAGACGCACCTAGGTTTGAGAGGAGGAAAATAGAGAAAAAAAATTTGAAGCAAAAAATGTGGTAAAATGTTTAATAATATAAATAACATAATATTTCACCAATGTAAATGTAAACAGAACTCAACAACAGCATTAACAACCATTATTCATCCCAAAATTGAGGCGGGGTGCATCTTATAGTCTGAAAAATACAGTATACAGTTATATATAACAAGTTGTATATGTTGAATAAGTATAATTTCTAATCAATAAAGCTGAAAAAGAAATAGGAAAATGTGTCAAAAATAAAAAATAAACCAAAACACAATAAATAAGAAAATGCTTAAGCTTTTAGAAAGTGAGGAACTCACTTTCATATAATAATGTTATACATGTTTTAGCCATGGCATTTGTTTGAGTGAAATGAATATATTTTATTGAATGAGTACAGGTTGTAGTAAGGAATTTTAAAATAATTCATCATCATGTAGTTTCCAAATTGATACCCAGATGTAGAGGGGGTGACCCATCTTGTGGCATGTGGGGTATACGACTAGACCAGACCATAAACCATTGCCCATAACTGCTGACCACCTGCATGGAATTACAATTACAGAGGCATTATTTTGTGAAATGGTTTTTTCAGTTCTATGGAAACTCAACTATTATGCAAATATGGAAGAATTACATAGATTTTTTTTGTCTTTAAATTTTAATGAGCTCATTGACTTATCGAGAAGACCTGGAGGGATGAGGACACAGTAGGTCAATTTTGATTAAGCAGTGACAAAAGAAAATGTCTTGAATAGAAAGAAGGGCAAGGGTAAGAGGGAGAAGTATGGACAAAGGATGAAGGGTCATGACATGCAAGCCTAGGGTATGATGAAACATAAATCTTGCCTTGCATAAGTGTTTGGATACCTAAGAAACATCTGCACTTGAATGTGCTACTGTCCAGGTGTGATGGTCTATAGCTGTACCCCAGTGAAAAATTTCTTGCAGTCTTTGCCATTTGTCCTAGAGCTCTCATCTCCTGTCTGTTTCTATTGTAAAAAAATTAGGGTCAATGGTAATGATTTGGTAAGAAAAGAAACCAAAACTGCTTTATATTTTGAGTATTTTTGAGGCTTGCCTTCAACCTCCACCATGTGCCACCTTACAGCTGCCTTTAGAGCACCTGCCAGCTCTGCAGAGCATCAGGATGGTGTGTCCCACCAGGCTCCTGCAGCTCCCTTCAGGTCCTTTTCACATGTGAAAGGTATGACTGTCCAGGGGTGGGTTCCAGAAACCTAGATTTAGTTCTGATAAATTCTAAATGCTGTTAGGTGAGAATTCATTTCTAAGATGTATTATTTACCCTCAGAGAGATTCAGTTAAGATTCCTTTTGGCTTCATTTTACAGAATGTAGCAACACAGTCTGAAAATTCAAAAAGACCTTGAAAATCTTTGAGTGCCCTTCTCATTCAGTTAAGAAATATCTTCCTCGATATCCCTGAAAGATGGTTGTCCCATTTCTGCGTAAACATTTTTCATGAGCTGTACAGGGAGCCTGTTGTTAAGAAGTTCTCTATAATATCCAATACAAATTTAAGCCCCTACAACTCCCATTTCTTTGTCCTGGTTTTGCCCAATTAAGCAATAATCGGGAAATAGTTGACTAAGTACAGTGACTTCACTGGAATAAACAGTTCTCAGAAGAGAAACTTCTCTTTTTCCAAATTTCTAGTCGCTACTCGCACCATGAAACAATGTTGTCCTTTGCAGTGCAAATAGGCCCCATTTATGATCATAACTCTTAAGATAGTCTAGGTTTTATTGTATACTTTAAGAGGAGATTCTTAATTTGTCTTTTCTGACTTATACATATTTGTTAATCAGGAATTTTGAAATTCATTTCTTGTAAGTTTCCTGAAATCTGGGAGTGTTGCCAATTTGCACTGAAGAACAGCATGTTATTAAATTCACAACTATTAGCACATTCATAACTATTAAAATGCAATTCTAATGCACTGACCCAGTTTCACAGCATGTCAAAAATTTAATTCAACCCCAGGTGACCCATACAGATGTCCAATAATTTTCCAGTGGATGTTGTTATTTGGAAGGTCAGATGAATTTAAACATTTTGGAAAATTGGCAATCTTGTCAATATAATTTTATGTGAATACAGAAAGAGCAACACTTTGACTATGTTAATCTTTATAGAATAAAGCCCCTTTTATCAAAGGTAGCTGAAAGTGGGGAAAATTGGAAAAGGGTTCTTCATCCTGTTTCTGAGGGTAGTGGAACCCACTCAAGTGGACCCAGGGCTGTGAGGGGAAGGTCCCATGGCTTTGGTACTAGGCTTGGGGGGTTAGAGTGTTAGATGTCAAATAGGTTCTGGCTTTGTAGATGGCTGAGGGAGAGCAAGCTTTCAGAACCTGCAAGACAAGGAGAGAACACAAGACCTGGAGTGCATACCTATTGTACCTTTTTTTTGTTTCTGCTTCTGGTGATATTTCTAACAATATATAAGCTTTTGGATCTGGGAGTCCAATTAGGATCTTGACCACACCCCTTTGGAGTGTTTGCGTCAAATCACTGCCTTTCTAAGCCTCCTTTTAAAAAGAAGGGGGTTATAAGCCCAATGACTTAGAAGACTTCTTTAGGTGTCAAAATACTGTAAACTTTACACAATAAAATGAGTTAGATACAAAACTCGGTCAGCCAAGATGGCAATTTGCACAGGCAGTCTCTTAAAATGTCTTGCTAATAATTCGGGAATGCATGAGACATGGGAGTACCCATGGGACAAGGTCATAGTTTTCAGGAGCATTTATAGAATTGAGGAAAAACTCCCAAGGTAAATTTTCTTTAAAAAAAAGATTCTATTTATTTATTTTTTAGAGAGGGGGAGGGAGGGAGAAAGAGATGGAGATAAACAGCAATGTGTGAGAGATATCAGTTGCCACTCACATGGTCACAACTGGGGACCCTGCCTACAACCCAGGCATGTGCCCTGACTGGGAATCAAACCAGACCGCTATTCAATCCACTGAGCCACACCAGCCAGGGCTGGAAGTAAATTTTCTTGGAGATCAAAATATATCCCCATGTTCCTATTGCAACACCTGCTCACAATGAAAGAGTGACATCATATGCACACCTGCATTCCAAAGGCGTCTATTACCCCATTGGTTCGGACAGGCTATCCAGACTTCTAAGCCCATGCATTTTGTTGTATCTGCAAGCTTCTTTTCTGTATTCAGTATTGATTACTTAGAATACTTTTTTTTTAGGATTTCAATGTGTTCACCCATTAAATGAATACATGGCATAAATAATAACTACTGTTGGGCTATTGTTTTATTATTTTAAGGGTTAATTGATTAGATGCTTTGAGCTACCCACTGTACTGGACAGTTTGGCAAAACAAAGACACAATACTTAGACTTCAAAAGGTTCCCATCATGTTTCTCTTTGAAAGAAACCATGGGGAAGACATTAATGAGAAGCTTCAGGCAAAGTAATCAACCAGTTAAACAAATTTAATACTTTTTCAAAAGTTAAAGTTTCAATAAAACCTCAGAATTTTCCAATGTTAATTTTATTCATTAATATCCTGTGTTTTGAATGAGCAAATTAATTCAGGTTATTCAACTGATTTGCATTGTAA